CCCCCCTCCCCAAATTCCGCCAAGCTCACCAAGCCATCTCCACTGCCGCTGAAGCTTACTGGACTCCGTCAAAGACCCATCGCTCTTTCCCCTTAATATTCCACTTCCAGAAAGCTCCAACTTCTGCCACCATCCGCCGCCTTTCCACCAGCAATCTCACCATCTCCAACAAAACCCACTATTGAAAGGGGCCCGGCCAACAAACCGTTGGCCGACCACCATTGTTTGACCCCACTACCAACACAATCATGAACAAGAACAAAATATTCCTTCATTACCTTGACAAAATGTGAGCACAAGAAGTCTCTGAATGGAGAATGGAGAAGAATGGAGCACAAGAAGGCCGTTGGGCTGATTTTCTTTCTTTCTTTCTGGGAGAGAGAAGAATGGACAGTGACGAAGACAAGAGAAGGAAAAAAAAAAAGATTAAAGAAAAAAGCAAAATAAAAAGAAAAAAACAGGAAAATACATATAATAATTAAAAATCCTGCAAAAATAATTTATTGAACTTTTTCTTTGTTATACACTCTCTATGCCAGGTGGCCGAGAAAGGTGGTAAAAATACTACTTCGTTCAAGGGGGTACTATAACCCCTGCAAAGTTTAAGTGTCTTTTTGAAAATCAGGTACTAGTTTAGGAGGGTCTTTATATTCTCCCAAACATAAAAGGAGATTCTGGAAAGCTGCTAGAAAACTACCAATGGACAGGAAAAAAGTTGGTCAAAATTGCTGCTTGCAGTGCTTGTTGAGGGGCCAAGATAGCTTTTGGTTTAGCTGTCTGAAGATAGTTTTAATTGTGCAACTTGCAGCAAAATGGATCATACAATGAGTTTTATTTTTTGAGTAATTTTTTAAATATAGGCTTTGGACTCTACAATTTCTTATAATTTCTTTAGTGGAGAAGGGTAGATGGCAGGGCCCATTATCCACCAAGTGTCGAACCGTGGGCCAATGTTCCTCGGGAATTTCTCGTTTATAAAAGAAGAAATCTTATGATGTGATCAAATGGTAACTGCCAAAAGATTTCTTGGATAACCTCAAATAACGTCCAATTGACATGACATTAATAATATTTTTTTATCAAGAATTCTGAAATACTTAAATATCTATGGTTTTCGAAGCCATGCAAACATAGCTGGTAACTGAATTATTTATTCGAGATTCACGGATAGGTTGAAGAGGTAACACATTTCCAAGGTTGAACTTCACGAACTTTGGTGTCACATATCATTTATGGGTTTGAGGCTTTTGAGCTAGTTGTGATGTACTGCATATAAAGAGGGGAAACTTTAATGAGTCACCCAATAAATTTTGATAAGGAACAATTACCTTTTCAATTTCTCAAAAGCATTTGTCAAGGTTATTTGGAGTTAATGTAAATTTAAGCTTCTTTTGTTGAATTTTTCTTGGCTCCTGGTGCATTAAGATCATGCTCATTTTAAGCTGTTGTATCCCAGCAAGCTAGATTAAGATAAATGCTCGAAATTTTGTTGCATTCCTTCCTGACACTTCATTCCCTCTTCCCAAGTGATACTGGAGAGAATTTCTCCAAAATATGTTTAACATGCAGCCGGCTATAATTCATGTCATGATTCTGACTCGCCTCAAATTATCCTGCGTATGAACTTTCTAGAGCAAATTCTCTGTTCATGGTTTCATGTTTCTTTGATGCATAAGTTAAGTTAATATCAGATATGATGGTTATTCTTGTTCCCTCTCACGCTGTCACTGTGCTTGAATTTTTCTCTGACCATTCGTATACAGCTATAGAAATAGAATGATATAATACTCTAGCTGTTGTTTATTTCATGCTAACTTTTATGTCCTGTAGTTTGTTTTAACTGCAACAGGCTCAGAAGCCGACAAAATTGTTGCCTTGCCTAGAAGAAAGTGGAGGGGTGCTGGATTGGGAAGGGTACCAATATTTTTCATTGCCGATTACGTGTCGTAAGCTTTCTGGGCTTTCCCTTTTGGATGTTTTTATAATTTTTTTAAGTCTTGGACAAAATATATGCTATTGGATATCATTATTGAATTTGGGTATTTTCTTATCATCGTCATTGTTTGAAGGTGTTTCATGAGGAGCCATAATCCACTTCTCTACTTCTCATATATGGGCCATTCTTGATTTGCTTCTTTCTGTCTTCTGTGCTTCTGTGAAGAAGTAAATAAAAATTGCTGAGAAATGAGAAGAAAATTAAAAAAGCTTAGAGTAAATGGAAAACGGATGTTCTAGGAAGAGCATGAGGGATTTACTCTTCTTATTATTTCCACTTTAAGAATATCTTTTGGCTTCTCTTTATCTTCATTTCATTATGTTCTAATTTGCATTTTCTTACCATTGTGCCCCATGCTTACATTTTTACTCATCACTTCCTCAATTGTATTTTCAATATATACTCCATCCTACTTTCAGTATCATACTTCGAGTAGGCACAAGTTCTAAGAGTACATTGAAAATATAATGTACTTGTCAATAGGGATATACCGAAAGTACTAAGTAGTCTATAATGTTACTATGCCTAAAAGTTGTGTCACTTTTCCTACATTTTTGTAATTATATTTTAGTCTTCTACAATTGCAATGTTTTTCACAGAACATTTTATTTTATTTTTAAAGCATTAAAGTAGAATCTTCTTGATGCTTCCATTCTGTCCCCTGATTGGTAAAGCACCTCATTCTACTGCGCTTCTTAAAGCAATGCCACTCAATATAGAAAGTCTCTCTAGATTAACTAAAGCAATCAGAGGAATATAATAATTTTCTTTTAGAATCTGCAACAGCAGATTTTTATGACCCAAATTGGAAGAGATCAACCATGAAAGCAAATGCTTCTCAAAAATGAGAGAAGAAAATACCAAGTAGTAGGATGAGACAATGGTTACTAGTGTTTGACCAGGATGCTCCCTCTTTTCCATAATGCTATTAACTTGATTATTTTCCATCTCTGAAGAATTAATCTGAAAGTGAATATTAGGACCTTCTTCCTCATGGGATTTGAGTAATAACTGTACATGCAAGCATGAGAGCGAAAAGTAGACGTAGTTTTGATGACCTCTCTTGTTGTTGGATAATTTTACAACTTCGGTTTCACAAAATTGTTCCTTGAACTGTGTTCTTTGGGAGCTTTACTAGCCCTGCCATGGTTGGAAAAACATAAGTTTGCTGAAAATGACTTGGTGAAGGGCATTCTTGAATTGAGTTTTACCTCCACCAGAGATCTTGGCTTGCTTCTACCTCATTTTCTAGTTCAATTAAGAAAAGAAGTGAGAACAATCATTTCCAACAGTTTCCTAGGGACCTAGTCTGAATTTCCTTTTCTGAAGAAGTTCTTGGGCTCCTGTTGATGCAAGTAGAGAATACAAACAACAACAACAACAACAACCCAGTAATAATCCCGCTAGTGGGGTCTGGGGAGGATAGAGTGTACGCAGACGTTACCCCTACCCCTGAGGGTAGAGATGCTGTTTCCGAGAGACCCTCGACTGTTTCCAGAATACTTGCTTGAAGTCCTTATACCCTAATTCTTGAGTACCTGACCCCTTGGTACCACTGAGAATCATCATAGCACTCTGAATAAACCTTCGTGGGTTACAATGATATCTTAAAACTATCCAAAATTCCTCCTCTGTATTGATTCTCCCCTTAATCAAATTATCGGTTATCTTTTTATTACTTACCCCTCAAAATACAATACTCTCCTAACACTTATCGTGACAGAACATGACTTATATTGCATAGGATTTTTCATGCCAACTTTTTCTAGCTACTCTGCTTTCAGCCTGAGTCATGCAGTTTGACTATTTACGCGTTAGTGCTAAATTTTTTTGCTCGTCTTCTTTTGCAGGATGCGAGTCTTGAAACTCTTTTCGCTGAAATCACGTCCCCAAATGAAAGAGAACAAGGCTCTATGAAATAGAATTAACATGTTTGACGTATTGCAACACGCTATAACAATGCATAACAACAACAACAACCCAGTAAAATTCCACAAACTATGCATAACCTGTATTTTATTTATGAACTTGCATTGGTATGGGTCAGAAAATGTTCCCAACTCATCCACGATTACAAAACGAACATGTGTTTGTAATTTATCATTCTTTAGTTAAGAGAGGAACAAATAGATCCAAATGTGCTGCTATCACAAATGGAAGATAGCAACTTGGATGATTTTTTCTGCATCTTATGTACATAGTAATTGGTATGGTCATTCATTCATATGGACAAATATGTATATATGTAACACTCCTCGACTTTATAAAAGTTTCGAGACACGCTATTTATAGAATTAAATTATTATTATTATTTTTCTTGCCTATAGTGAATATATATATGNCATGATGATGAGACATGCAAAAAAATATTTTTTAAAAATCAAACAAGAAGACTAATGATGGAAAAAGGTATTATTTTAAAATAAATTGCATACTACCTCTATGATTAAACCAATATATTTTAAAAGAAGAAGCAATAAAGAAATTGAACTAAAAGTCCTATGAAGTTTCCTACATCCTTCCTACTACCTTCCTTTCATAGTTCTATTTAATCAACTTTATTACATCTACCAAATGAAAGAGAAAGAAAACAATACACTATAGACATAGACAAGAGTTAGGTCTATTAATTTTTCTTCTTTCTTATTTCCTTTTTTGAGTTTTGAGTTCAAAAAATGGCAGGTATGCTTGCTGGTGTTGAATGTGCTAGAAGAAGAAAGTTTCATAAAAACAGTGGCTTATTAGATTCATCATATAATACATCTGTTTTTTCATCCACAAGGAAGTCTTTTCTTTGTCTCTACACAAGCAGCCATGAACATATTCTTAGCTCAAGCTTTTCTAAGGAAAGAAGTGCAACAAGCCAAGAATATGAAGATGAGAAACTAGGAGAAGTTGCTAGAGAAGCCAAGCAAAGGCTAGATGAGAGGCTCAGTGCCCAATGGAAATCACAAGATAAGAGGGGTGTTAAGGGATTGAAAAGGCTGGGACAATGGAGCGGGGTGATTTGCTGATACACAAATGTTTGGATCAAAGAAGCTGCAGTTGAGGAAAACTGTTTCTAAAGGATATGAAAAATGAATGTATCATTTGCTAGCACTAATTCACAATGGCAATTTTGATTACTAGAGTGTATATATATTTTCCCCTCTAAGGGTGCCCAAGATTTCTAAATTATAAAAGTAAGCTTTCTTGTACAACAACAAGCTCAATATAATTTCACAAATGAAGTCTGAGGATCTACGTATACCCTAATTTGTGACGGTGGAGAGAAAAGTGTAAGCTTTCTTGTAATCAAGCAAATTGGCTAGCTTGTGGGTTTTTGAGAAATGCTTTCTTGTAATCAAGCTGATTGACTAGCTAATGAGCTTTTAAAATATGGTCTTTGAAAAAAAAATAAAAAATAATAATAATAATAAAAAAACCCATAAAGGGTTGTGGACTGCAAAAGAAGTAAAAAGGGGTTTGGACTAAGAAACACAATACGCACAATCTGAAATGCAGAATTAAAAAAAAGCCCTCGTTCACGTACAAACGCAGAATCGTGAGACAGAGCCTTGCTGTTCAATACTCACGCAGGCAACGGGAAGTTTAGGTTTCTTTACAAGTCGCTAATTCTTGAACTCAAGTATATAAAATTTCTTATTGTCAATTACCCTACAGTAGTATTAGCTAAGAATTGAGTAGTTAATTCCCTTCTTCCTCTATATCAACAATAAATTTCATATTTAGGTGTAATACTTTAAAATTGATTAAAATGTACTGGTTGTTGTAGAATCGATTGTTTGACTGGTGTCAATTGGACTGGGGCTACGTATTGGCTCGAGAAGTTTTGAGGTGAGTTGATATAACCCTTTACTAAAGTAGTTTAACTCACAGAAGCACGCATATAAGATGTTTGTTAAATTGCATAAAGGAGTTAATATATATTTAATTGGAGTAGTACTAGGCAAGCAGCTGCATAGCACTGGAAAAAAAATTGTCTAGCAATTGCAATGCTCTACTGGATATTTTGATACTTGATTGAATTTTAAGCTAAGGATTTTCAAAGACCCGTGATCTTGGTTAATCACTTGTGTTTTGCTATGTGTAAAGTGTTCTGATTTGAAGTTGTTTTGACTATTATACCAGTTGGATATCTTTCCGTCAGAATCTTGTCTAAAACGATAATCTTAAATGAAGATAACTTGGATATTCAATATAAGCTCTAGTATTTCTTGGTGATATTTAAAGGAGGGCAAATAGCTTGCATTTTTAGCAGTATCTTTGTCAGTCACGCTGACTAAGAGCAAGAGCTTGTGAAGTTTTAGAAAGGAAAGTTTTTTTTTTTTGGAGTATCTTTTATTCTGAGAAGGGCTAATCGTCCAGGCCTAGGATCCTGATCAAGGCGTTGACTTCCTGAAACTACTTGTGCCAAAGTAGGGAGCACACGAGCCGAGGGTCTCGTTGCTGAGAATTTACTTAGCCATGCTAAGGTATGATACATGAGCGCTGAGAACCATGAAGCGAGTGGCACCTCATGGATTGGACCTATTCGATCGGGTTGGGATCGAACCCGTTCCGATCACACGGTGACTAAGACAGAAACAGGTCAGGATAGTTGGAACTCCCAAAGTATAAAGTGAAGTATTTTTTTTAAGAAAGAAAAAGAAAAGAATTTCTTTTAGAATATTTGTAAACTGCTATTATGCAATTATTTAGAATTATTCTTATAAGATTTATGTTTTACATGCATTTAGAACCTTTGCTCATAATGTATATGTTATTAAAGTTTCGCCCCCTATTGTTGAGACTCACTGAGTACAATGGATGGTACTGACGTTCTCTTTTGGGAACCTACGTTGGTCTGCGGTACAACGTAGGAACCAGATTTGCAGGCGAGCAGGCTACGAGTTAGGACTTCCTTCTCTTCCAGTGCTATTGGTGAGCTCCGCTTTTGTTCGTGGAGTATTCCTTAGAGTCATCTTTATTTAGTTATTTCTTTGTTACTTAGAGAACTAGCCAGGAAATCTTATGTCCTGAGCAGTGCGTCAGTTTATCAGTAGAGGCTTCATAGACATAGTCGTTGAGTTAAGATTCAGATGTTTTTGATAATAACTTAGCAATATTTCATTGGTTACTATGAATAAAGTTTTGGAGTTGATTTATTTAAATATTTAAAATTAATCAAAAGTATTTGGTTAGAGTATTGCCTTGTTGCATATAAAGTTTGGAGTTATAATAAATTTGATAAGTAGAGATGGTTCGCTCGGTCATGTTTACTGATCGAGTGCCGGTCCCGGCTTGTTCAGGAAATGGATCGTGACAAACTTGGTATCAGAGCATCAGGTTTATGGAGTCCTAGGGGTCTATGAAGCTGTGTTAGTAGAGTCTCGTTTATGTGTATGAAGCGCGCCAAACTTATAAACAGGAGGCTACAAGCATTTAGGAAATGTCTTTTTTTTTTATACTTTAGATCGTGCAGTAGAGTCTACCTCTAAGAAATTATCTAATTTATTCGTTTCTCCAAAACTCACAGAAATGGCTCGTACTCGCAACTATGACACCGACACTCAGGATATTGCTCAAGAAACTATCGCTACTATTGTGGCTCAAGGTAGAACTAAGAAGGCTTCGACCCAGAAAAAGAGGGGAAAATCCTCAAACGGAGTCCAAGTACCCCGGGTTGAGCAAGAAGAAGGGGTGGAACATGATGATCCAGTACCTCAGGATCCAATACGGCCCCCAATAGCAGCTCCGGCTCAGGCAACTATATCTCCCGAGGTGGGTCAGATGTTTAATGCTGTCAACAGTGCTATAGAGATGTTTAAAGCCTTTATGGCCAACCAGAACGAGAGAAGAGATGAGATTCCACCTCAATCAAATAGACAGAACAATTTTGAGTCCTCAAGAGTGAATGAATTTTCGAAGTTGAGTCCTCCAGTTTTCCATGGTTCTATAGTTGATGAAGATCCGATGTTGTGGCTGGAGGGTGTCAAGAAAGCCCTCCGAGTGATGAAAGCATTTGATGATGAAGCTGTGGAGCTAGCTGCTTACTAGCTTAGAGATGTGGCCGACGCTTGGTTTGAGATGTGGGAAAATGAAAGAGATGAAGATGATGGTCCGCCTACTTGGGAAGAATTTGAAGGGGCCTTCATGGCTAATTTTATCCCAGAAGAGGATAGGGAAGCTAAGGCTACAGAGTTCGAACAACTCAAACAAGGGAATAAAAGTGTGCAAGAGTACTACATGGAATTCATAAGGTTGGCTAAGCATGCTCCTCACATGGTTAAGACAGAAAAAGCAAAGATTCACAGGTTTATTGGCAGTTTGGCTTACCACATTAAGGATACAACATCAGTTGCAGCGGTAGGAATGACAGCTTTCTCCTCTGTCGTGGGGTTCTCCAAGAACTTAGAAAGAGACAGACAACAAAGGAGAGAAGAAAAAGAGCATAACAAGAAAGCCCAGACAGCGGGCAGGTTTAATGGTACATCCAGTGGAGGTGGAAGGGATTCCTCTAATAAGAAGTCATTAGCACCATCTCAGTCCAGTCATCAGTCAGGTGGTGGGTCTTCCTTCAGACGTACTCAAAGTTATGAAAACTAGTCTCGCCAGAATCAGAATTTTATGACATCATCCTCACATAGCTAGAGTCATGCTGAGCAACATTCACACCAACAAGGTCTTTGTGGAACATGTAAGCGGCAACATTCAGGTCAGTGCAAGCTCGAGTTTCATGGTTGCTACCATTGTGGAGACATTGGTCATATAAAGGCCAACTGCCCAAAGTTGCGACGTAATTTTAGTGGTGGATCAACTCGTCCTTCTAGTTCCTCAGCTACTGCAGTTGCACCACCTCAGGCTCATGGTTCTCATAATCAGACTAAACATGAAGCAGGCAGAGGTGCAGACTGAGTTACTCAGGGAGGGGGACAACCCCGTTTGTTTGCTACACTTGATCGTCAGAGTGCAGAGGCATCTGCAGAAGTTATTACAGGTATACTTTTAGTCTGCTCACATAATGCTTATGCCATAATGGATCCAGGTTCAACATTTTCATATGTGACTCCATACTTTGCAATTAACCTCGGACTAGAACCTGAACAACTTAGTGAGCCATTCCTAGTATCTACTCCAGTTGGCGAGTCAGTGAAAGTCACCAGAGTCTATACAGGTTGTATAGTTTCACTCCAAGGTCGCAACATCAAAGCCGATCTCATAGAGTTAGAAATGGTGGATTTTGATGTGATCATGGGTATGAATTGGTTGTCTTCCTGCTATGCCATGTTAGATTGTCATGCCAAGATAGTCAGGTTCCAATTTCCAAATGAAGAAGTCTTAGAGTGGAAGGGTAGTTCAGCATCGCTTACAGGTAAGTTTATTTCTTACCTTAAGGCACAACGAATGATCGGTAAGGGGTGTCTCGCCTATTTGGTTCACATTATTAATCTAGAATCAGAACCACCAGCTCTTCAGTCAGTGCCAATTGTTAGAGAATTTCCAGAAGTTTTCCCAGATGACCTTCCCGGACTTCCTCCCGAAAGAATCATAGACTTCGGCATTGATCTCATGCCATGCACTCAGCCCATATAAAGATGGCTCCGGCAGAACTTAATGAGTTGAGAGAACAGTTGAAAGACCTTCTTGACAAGGGCTTCATCAGACCGAGTGTTTCGTTGTGGGGTGCCCCGGTCCTGTTTGTCAAGAAGAAAGATGGGTCTCTTAGAATGTGTGTCGACTATCGGCAGTTGAATAAAGTTACCATTAAGAACAAGTACCCACTACCAAGAATTGATGATTTATTTGATCAACTTCAGGGTGCAACGTACTTTTCAAAAATAGACTTGAGGTAGGGGTACCATTAGTTGAGAATCAGAAAAGAGGATATATCTAAAACAGCCTTTAGAACTTGCCACATGCACTATGAATTTCTAGTGATGTCCTTCGGATTGACAAATGCTCCAGCTGCATTCATGGATCTCATGAACAGAGTTTTCAAGCCATTCCTGGATACCTTTATTATTATGTTTATAGACGATATATTGGTGTACACTAAGATCAAGGAAGATTATGCAGAACACCTCAGAATAACCTTGCAGACCTTGAAGGAGAATGAGTTTTATGCCAAGTTTTCAAAATGTGAGTTTTGGTTGCAGTCAGTGGCATTCTTAGGCCACGTGGTATCTAGTGAAGGAATAAAAGTAGACCCTCAGAAGACAGAAGCAGTCAAGAACTGGCATAGGCCGACAATGCCAAACGAAATCAGGAGTTTCTTGGGGTTAGCTGGCTACTATAGAAGGTTTGTGGAGGGGTTTTCCTCACTTGTAGCTCCATTAACTAAGTTGACTCAGAAAGTAGTTAAGTTCCAATGGTCAGACGCTTGTGAGCAGAGTTTTCAAGAGTTAAAGAAGAGGTTGACCACTGCACCTGTGTTAACCTTGCCGACAGGTTCGGGTGGGTTCACAGTGTATTGTGATGCCTCCAAAGTGGGCCTTGCTTGTGTTCTTATGCAAAATGGAAACGTTATTGCTTATGCTTCCAGGCAATTAAAGAATCATGAAAAGAACTACCCTACACACGACTTGGAGCTTGCAGCAGTGGTGTTTGCATTAAAAATATGGCGACACTACATTTATGGCGAGCATTCTGAAGTGTTTACAGATCACAAAAGCCTCCAATACATTTTCAAGCAAAAAGAACTAAATTTGAGACAGAGAAGGTGGCTCGAGCTATTGAAAGATTATGACATCAATATCCTTTATCACCCGGGCAAAGCTAATATGGTAGCAGATGCACTTAGTAGGAAGTCAATGGGTGTCTTGGCCGATCTTGTAGTGCAAAGGCGATCTTTGGGTCGAGAAATTCAAAAACTAGCAAATGATGGAATTAGATTGGATGAGACCGAAGAAGGAGATATAACTGCTTATGCCTTAGCGCAATCCTCCCTTGTTGCGCATGTTAAGGCTAAGCAAGACGAAGATCCGTACTTAGTGAAATTAAAAGAAGGAGTCAGAAGCAAAGAAATTACTGCTTTCACTCTAGGAAATGACAGAGTTTTGAAGTTGAATGATCGGTTATGTGTGCCTGATGTAGATGGTCTTAGGAAGGCCATAATGGAGGAAGCTCATAGTTCGAGGTACTCTATCCACCCAGGTGCTACCAAAATGTATCTAGATTTGAAAGAGTTGTATTGGAGGAAAGGCATAAAGAAACAAGTAGCAGATTATGAGGCTAAATGTTTAAATTGCCAGCAAGTCAAAGCCGAGCATCGGAGGCCTGGTGGCCTAGCTCAAGGTATATAGATACCACAGTGGAAGTGGGAGATGATTAATATGGATTTCGTAGTTGGTCTACCTCGCACATACCATAAACATGATTCAATTTGGGTTATTGTAGACCGACTAACAAAGTCCGCGCATTTCCTACCAGTAAAGACGACAGATTTCGCAGAGCAGTATGCGCAGTTGTACATCAAAGAAATAGTCCGATTGCATGGTACTCCAGTTTCAATCATATCTGACAGAGGCCCTCAGTTCACGACGCATTTTTGGCAGGAATTTCAAAAAAAATTAGGTACAAAGGTCAATTTAAGCACCGTTTTTCATCCACAGACCGATGGCCAGGCAGAAAGGACCATTTAGACTCTCGAAGATATGTTGCGTGTGTGTGTTATAGATTTTGGAAGTAATTGAGATGATCACTTACCACTTATAGAATTTGCTTACAATAACAGCTATCAGGCCAGCATTGGTATGACTCCTTATGAAGCGTTGTATAGGCGGAGATGTAGGTCTCCAGTGGGTTGGTTTGAAGCGATAGAGGTGCCGTTGATTGGTCCAGAGTTTGTTTGTGAGGCCTTGGAGAAAGTTCAACTAATTAGAGAAAGACTTAGAGCGGCTCAGAATCGTCAAAAGTCTTATTCTGACAAGAGGCATCGTGAGTTAGAGTTCATAGTTGGTGATAAGGTGTTTTTAAAAGTTTCACCAATGAAAGAAGTTATGAGGTTTGGTAAGAAAGGTAAACTTAGCCCTAGATTTATCGGACCTTATGAAATTCTAGAAAAGAAAGGAAACGTGGCTTAT